GAACCAATTATATATACATTATGATGCACATGTGTTCGTTTGATGATCAGATTCAAGATGGCCGAATGACGGTCATTTTAATGTTGACATTCATCAAAATCACAGATATACAATCCTATGTATCTATCTCGTGGTTATTTCCCACTCCCATGGATGCCTTGATTACGTGATATATTAGCTACTTTTCAATATCAGGTTCCTCAAATGGAAATGGCCACAAAAAATCATTGTTTGATCATTTATTGTTTGATCAAGGTTGCAATTACAAATAATTACTACAATAACGAAATGCAAACTAACAATATGAAAGAAAGTTTTGAAGAAAATCCAGCATGCTGAGGATATCAGAGGCATATACAACAAAATAGAATGTATATAAAATAAATATGAGTATAAACGAGTAAATTATAATTAATAAAACGAGTAATATACACTGACTTTTGAGATGAACAATGTGAAAACAATCTGATCCACAGAACTAAAGTTTATAAAACACAAAACTCTCATCAAAGCAAAAGAATAAAATGGTTGTAGAGCTGTTGTTTACAGCCTGTGATGTATTTCAGATCACCTATGAATTGTTACTGCTATGTGTGCATAATTTACGAATGACTGGTATAATATACATGATTGTCATAACATGTGTTGACATTCTAAGCCCGACTACAATTTAAACACTATTTAAAATACTACCGTACCATGTATTTTATTTGTCATTTACATTTTATTTGTCATTTACATACTTTTTTAAAACTGAGTTTCATAATTATGTTATGTATTTTTATGTCTACTCCAGTCGTTTGTCGTTTGTGTGCGAACATCAAAGTAATATTTTTCGATAAGTTACAACTGAGTTTACTGTTTGTGAATCATACTCAGCGTCCAGTGCAACTATCTTTTTTCCCACAACTAATTAACCTAAAGTTTCAACACGGATTCGAGTCAGCCATACTTCATTTGGTAATAAAAGAGTTTTAATATAACCGAAGCAGTGATAACTTGACTGACATGTTACCATATGACCGGGTCAAAGCTCTATCACCAATAATTGCGAGGGTGACAATTGCATCTACATCAATTCTAAAACATTATATTTAGAAGACTTATAAATATGCGTGATACATACGTTTGTGGGATACACATGATATATATATATATATATTATAGTAGTTTATTTATTTGCAGTTAATATTAATTTTATTTACAAGTAATTGTTGTTACAAATCAGAGTGTGATTTATGAACCAATAAATACTTATTGTAACATGTTTAATGCGGTATATTGTAAATGTGCTTTGTATGACGAATACGCGTGTTTCTGTATTTTCTGTATTCTGTATCATTCTCGCCTTAGCTGGCATACATACAATAATTGTGTGCTGATTGATACCTTTACTTACTGAGATACTGGTTAATTAATTTCCCGGACATTACCGGAGCTGTTCAGACTCATTGGACATCATTGGATATTTATGTAAAATGAATTATCAGACACTCGCATACATGCATATTATATATTTATGTCGGAAAATGGGAAGGATGTTATTTATAGACGATGATGATTAGTATAGTGTGGCCTTCAAAACACGTATTAGCATATCTTCCGTAGAAATTCTGGAGTTTTGATGAGCATACAAACATTTGAGACAACCTTGGTTTGAACACTCTGCGACACCAACAATTAGATTGATGAATGTTGATGCTCAGATTTTCAAACCTGGTCAGGTTAGAGCCTCGAACAAGAATTTATCAAGAAGTGGATAACTGTCGCTGCCTCCCGGTCTAGCTAAAAACAAATGTAATATTGTGCGTCATTCGAATACTAAATTGGCTGGATGGTATGCGAACAATGGCATCCAAAAACGTGCATGTGTGTGTGAGTGTGATCACACGATCTACATCGATTGCGATGGCATGTAGTATATTACAGGTACCACCCTCTTCATCCAGTATCATTAAATACGATATTATCATGCATATATTCCATCATAATAGCATAATAGCCAAATGAACTTTTGACAGACGTATAAAGGTAAAGCATTTGTTTCATTGATTCAATGCAATTTTGTTATTGGAAACATTAGGTTCTCAGTTGAAGTTTCACAAAATAGTTCCCAAATATCGGTGTAATTGTTGATATTCATACCATTGTCAAACAGTGCCAATGTAATTTTCTTTCTCCATTGAAAAACAACATTATAAATATGCTTTCCACTCAGAGGATACTCTTTTTTTCACACAGATGTCTCACAATAGACGTCACGGTAATCGTATTTCTGTACATCTCGATTGAAAATAAATTCATTCTTACAGTTCTTGTCACTGTGTTTTGAACAGATCATTTGAATACATCAGGTCAATAAGTGACCATGATTTTCGTAATAGCTTAATTTACGTCAAAAACAAAACAGAAATAAAGAAACTGATCTCAAATCTATATGGCCTAAATTACAATAGGGAAGATCTATTTCGAGAGAAAGGACTGATATATATAAATAGTAATGCATTAGTGTTATATATTGTTGATTGGTCAGAATGAAATACTTAATCCAATTACAACAAATTAACTATTACAAGAATTAATTTCTCTTGATAAATTACATCATCAGACTTAAAACAACGAGTAAACAATTTCTAACCCCAAAGACGACGACAATAGAATGCAATCACTAAATTAGAAAATACACAAAATTGACTTTGATTTTGATTCATACGGAAATTTGGTCACGCTTACTGACTAAAGACAACATTTATTATTGATCATGTTATGTTCTAAAATTTGACGATTCGATTTGATATTGACAATCCGTAGTTTTATTATATTTGCAATACTCACCCGCAATAGGCGGTCCAATTGTATACCCAATACCAACATGAAATAGAAACCAACCAAATGCACTTGACACGTGTTCTTTCCCAATACATGCTTTTATAGACACAGCTCCAACTAGCGGCACAATAACACCGTCAAATAGGCCGTATACTGCTGCTATGAATAGCATATACTACATAGTTGATATTTGCAAAA